GGGCTTATTGCTTTCTAGGACCGCACGGGCCCCGCGGGGGGCCGGGGACTCCCGGGCGGTGGGTGCCGGGCATAGGACGCCGGGGAGCGCCAACACACGTGGACTCACACGAGGACAGCAGGACGGGCCGCGGCCTGCTCGGCGCTCGGCGGGGAAACAGGAACTGAAATCACCCCAGACTCGCCGGGGGCTTATTGCTTTCTAGGACCGCACGGGCCCCGGGGCGGGCCGTAGGCCCAGGCGGGTGTCACGGGGGAGGCCCGCTCGGCGCCCGCTGCCGGGGTGGGGGGCGCGGGGGGCCTATTTGCCCCGTTCGGGCCGCAGGCTGTCAAGCAGGCACTGCAGCTGCTCCTCGCCCAGGCGGATCTTATCGTCCAGCTCCCGCTGCTCGATGATCAGAGCCGACTTCATCTTCACGAAGTGCTCGTAGTCGGCCAGGCTGTCCTCACTCAGGTAGCTGGCCAGGGTGTCGAACACGACGCGCTCACGCCGGTCCAGGTTCTGCTTGAGCTCCTTGGCGTCCTCGTGCTGCTGGATCAGGACCCTCTGCTTCTCCAGCAGCGATTGCTGTGGACAGAGAACAGCCGCTGAGGCCGCGGCCGCGGCCACAGCCTGGCCGGCCTGCCCGGGACGGGGGAGGCCCCCGGGTAGAGGCCCGCCGGGCTGCCCGCCCCTGGCCACGCGCCAGCAACGCAGCCCGGGCTGTGGCAATCGGGCGGTGCAGAGAGCCGGGCAGGGCAGGACTGGGGAGCACGCAACTGCCCCGTGCCCCCCTTTTCTCTAGAAGGTCGAGGCGGCCTCCGAGGCCCTGACTCGGTGCTGGTCACCTCTCTGGACACGTCAGCTTCCCCAGCGCAAGGCTGCCACCCCGCCCGGCTGCCCTGGAGCCCTGCCCACACCTGGCCTGGCAGGGACCCGCGGCCACGTCAGCCACGCCGCGGGGGAACACGAGTCCACCCTGCGCTGCGCACGGCCCCGGAGAGGCAGCGAGGGCTCGGAGGCCGCGTCCCAGGGAGCACGGGCCTGGCCCTCCACCTGTGGCTCCCACTCCCCCACATCCTAACTGAGCCCTCCGGCGCCGGGCGTAGACCAGAGGACAGCCGAGCGCGGACACCGGCCCACGCGGCGCCAGGCGGCCACGGTCTCGTGTCGATCTACGCTGGCGGGATTCTCGACGCGTGTCAAGAAGCCTCCTTCTTCCTCCTGCTGTTTTCCCGTCTTAGTTTGGCTGAGTTTGCAAAAGCAGCCAAGTGTAAGAAGAACGTAGCCCAGGAGGCCTGGAGCAAAGCCCGGCCACGCCAGCGCTGTGCCCCACGAGAGCCGCGCAGCCCGGCCACGTGAGCAGCACGTCCCCGAAGCCCGGGGAGGCCGCCCCGTGGCCGCCGGACCCACCCTCCTCTGCACAAGGGATGCTTTCTCTCCCCCTGCAGAGGGCTCAGGGGTCTCAGGGGAAGCAGACCACCGTGCTGAAGGCTGTCTGTACAAAGAGCCCCCCACCAAGGCCCCTGTGGCAGCAGCTGGGACGCCTGCAGGGGGCAGAAACGCCCCAGGCTGCAGCACCAGGACAGGGAATGGGAAGAAGCCCGAGACCCTGCGGCCGCTGCCCCTGCCAAAGACCGCGGTGTGCGAGAGACGCCAGCCGCAGCAGTCTCGCTCCGGGCCTGCATTCGTCAGGGCGCCGGTCGCGTGAGGGCTGGTGCCCGGCCGGCCGGGGCCTCAGCGGCCGCTCGCGGCTCACAGGATCAGCGCCCACACCCTGAGCGGAGCTCCCCACCGCCCCCCGGCCCAGCCCAGGCGGCCGCACCCAGGCGCCCACGCCCGCGCCTGCCTACCCGGTCTCCAGGAGAAGCGCTGTCGTCCAGGTTGTTGAGGGCGTTCTCCACGCGGGCCAGGCGGCCGGACAGCGACAGCAGCAGGTTGACCACCTTGTCCAGGTCCCCGATGAACATCCGGAACTTGTCGAACTCGTTGGGCTTGCACACGTCCTTGGCGATGGCCTCCACCTCGTCCCCCAGCGCGCCGTTGGCCCGGATGTCCTGCAGCAGGCTCTCGCGGGCCTCCCGGAGTACCTGCAGCTTGCGGCCGATGCTGTCCACCAGCTCCTGCTGCGGGCACAGGCGGAAACGCTGAGGGGAGCAGCGCCGGCGGCGGGAGCCCCGCTCGCGAGGCGCCCGGAGTACCTGCAGCTTGCGGCCGATGCTGTCCACCAGCTCCTGCTGCGGGCACAGGCGAAAACGCTGAGGGGAGCAGCGCCGGCGGCGGGAGCCCCGCTCGCGAGGCGCTCAGGCGGCGCGCCCCACGGCCCGAGGGTGAGGGAGGGCCGGGAGCTTGGGGGGACCATGCTGTGCCTGCCAGCGGCTCGTGGCCTCCGCGAACTAGCCCCTGGCCTCACCGCTCAGCCCCTTGCGTGGCCGCACGCGGTCCCAGCCGCTGCCTCTGCAGCTTCCTCGCACCCCAGCCCAGGTCCCGGGCACTTGTCGGCCCCTCCCCCTGGCAAGCCAAGGCACTCACAGGCTGGCGCGCCCGTCACCCCGCTCTCTGTTCCGTCACCCCTTCACCTGGGCCTTCTCCATCACCACCGCCTTTGTCTCTGTGGCCCTTCGCCTCGTTTTATACTTCTTTAAGGTTTGTTGATCTGTACGCACACACAACTGGAGTCCGGGCTACAGGTGTGGTGGGGGTGAGAGGTGCCCCAGAAACAGAGCGGGGAGCAGACAGGCGGGTCCACGGAAACCCACCGCTGAGGGCGCAGCGGGGAGACGGGAGGGGTCTGCTGCGCCCCGGGGTCCGTCCCTGGCCGGGAAGGAACTCGGCCGCGGGGGCAGCCCACAGCTCCGAGTGCTCTTTAACCCTGCGCCGGCAGGCAGGCAGGCGCTTGCTTTCATTTTTACTGCGCACACGTGACATTGGGGTGGCGGACTTGCGCTGCCACTCAGCGCAAGGGCCAATCAGCGAACGCCCCGGCCTTCGGGGCCCCGCGGCAGCGGGGCCCGCTACGGCCCAGAAGCCAGAGGGACGCCGTCCGTGCGTCCACATGACTACTGACCAGGGCGGGCGGCGGGCTGTGGCTGGGCCTGTGCTCGCCAAGTGGCCACTTGTGGACAGCGCCGTCCCTCTCCTGTGAGGCCGTCAGCCTCCCGGGTCTCCTGTGCGGGCCGTGTGCGAGCTGAGGGGCAGGGGAGCTCTGGGGGTGAGCGGAGGACGCTCGTCGGGTGACAGGCCCTTGCCCTCCTGCAGCAGGGTTGTGACCCTGTGGCCAGATGCCTGCACCCGGCAGTCAGGGGACCGGTGCCGCCCTGCGGGGCACACAGAGGTGCCTGGCCGAGCGGCCATGCCGACGCCAGCGCCCCGCAGGACAGCAGAGCAGGCCCGGCACTGGCGAGGCCCTCCCTGCCCGCCCGGGGGGGCAGGCCAGGCTCTCACTGGCTCCTCTGCTCGCCTACCTTCTTCCCGGACAGGTCATGGTCCGAGTCGCTTCCGGAGTCCTGCTCGGGCTGCTGCTCCTGCAGGTCCTTCATCTTGATGAGCAGCTCGGCCTTGGGGGCTGACGTGCTGTAGTAGGCAGAGCTGGTGGCCAGGGGCGTGGCTGCGGGCAAGCTGGACTCCTCCTTCCTGGGGGCAGCAGCAGCGGACACTTCAGCCGGACTCCCACGAGGGCTGCGGGCTGGGCAGCCCCCCCTACTGCCCCGCCGGGCACAGATGCCCCAGCCCCGGGCCTGGGTGGTGCTTTCTGCTCCCCACACCTGACCTTGCAGGCTGCATCGCTGTGCTGCACTGGCCTCCCCGTCCTGTGTTCGGGGTGTGGCACAGCTCCGCCCCCACCCCCTGGAGACCGGGGTGCCTCCTGCAGCTATTAAAACCAAAGCTGTGCCCATGTGCCGGCAGACCTCCTCCCCCCACCCGGGGGAGCCAGGCCCCAGGTCGACAACCGCTGCGCGCCTGCATGCGTGCAAGCGTGGAGAAGTCAGCAGGGCGACTCTGGAAACCGCCTGGGCAGCGTTTTGGAGGCTGTCAGGCCCGGAAGCCCCGAAGCCCCGAAGCCGACACCCCCATGCATGAAGCCTTTGGGCCTTAGCCTCGCCAGCAGGTGGCGCAGGCAGCAGTAAGCCAAGTGCTGGGAGCCCTTAGGGGCGCAGCGCTGGGCGCACTTAGGGGCGCAGGTCCCTCCCCAGGGCTCCCACGAATCGGGCGGGGATGCTCACCCCGCCCTCACGCGTCACCAGCAGGGACGCCGCAGCCCGGCAGTGGCCACGGCCGAACACGGGGCGGGGCGCACTCACTTCTCCTCCGGGGTCCGAGGAGACGGGATTTTGGGGAGCAGCTTCCTGCGCTGGTGCGCCTCCTCCAGGAGGTGCTCGTCTTTGGGGAAGATGCCCTCCATCAGGTCCACGGCGGTGCGCATCTTCACGCGCGGGTC